GCCAGGAGGAACCAGGCAGGGAGAGAGCGGCTCTGAGTGCCTCGGGGGGCTGGAGCCTTCTGCTCCCATCCCGGGAATCACTGAGATTTTTTATCAGTGAAAAAGGAATCACTGATAGCAGCTCGCTGCTTGTGCAGTGCTGAGCCAGAGCTGGAGGAGTTTGAGTTCTGGGAATGCTGTTGGAGGGGAGATGGATCCATCTTTGGGGTTAGTCGCGCTCTGGAAGGAGCTGTGAGAGGTTCAGGAGGGCTGTGATGCTCGGGTTTGCCAGGCTGGGAGGCAGCAGTGATGCTGGCACTCAGCTGGCCAGGCTGCTTTAGGGATCTGCTCATGGAAAGCCTGATTTCCTGGGATTTTTCTCTTCTGGGATTTTTCTTTTCTGGGTCCTGGGGTCCCCAGAGCTGCTGGTACCTCATTTTCCACCAGGGGCATTCCTGGTGCCCATACACAGGGTGGAAAGTGCCCCTGTTTCCTTTCCTACCAGGTGAAACAAGCTAAAGCCAAGGTGTCCATCCCCATCCATCCCCTTGCTCTGCTGGGAATGGTTTTCCAGAGGGGATCTCCACGATCCCATTGGAATCTCCACAATCCTGTTTTCCTGACAGAGGAGCACTCTCTTCTCACTGAGTTTAAGCACTCACTGCTCCTTTATTTTTTATTCCTAGCAGGGAAACACTCAGCCCCATGCAGGAGCCACACTCCCCACTGCTTTGGGAAGCGCCAAATTCCCTCTCACAGCTCAGGAACAGCTTGCTGCCCCTTAAATATTGGGATGCTCCGGCTATGGAGAATTGCTGGATTCATTTCCTCATGTTCAGAAATGTCAGGGTTTGACTATCCTGGGAAGGTTTTGCCTCTCCAAGGGCTGTTATCCCTGCCTGGGCTCGGCTCCTTCCCCATGGATGCGCTGCTCCCTGGGGCTGGAGCTGCCTCCGGGGCTCGGCATCACTTCCCACCTCACTTTTTGGCAGAAGCCAGGTGAGAGCGGCTCTCTCTCTCTCATTGATGGTGATTCACACCCTACAAGAGCTCACAAACAGCTCTCCCTGGCGTTTCCCTTTTTGCAGCCCGCTGCAAAAGAAGGAAAGAAAAGAATTCCTTCCCAACTCGCGATGCTCCTTGGATGAGCCGCAAATCATCTCGGGGAGAGATTTATTCCGTGCAGCTGTTTCCCAGCTCTTCCCTTAGCCGAGCTGGCGGAGGTTTGCTCATCCTCATTCATGAAAAGCCGGGCGGAGGGGCTGCTGGAGCCGGGAATTCTGGCGGATGTGCAGCTGATTCCCCTCCTGCGAGGAGGAGGAGGAGGAGGCGGCGTAGCGGGAGCCCTGCCAGCCCCTTTGTGTTTGTTGGCTTGCACAACAAGAGCTCTGTAGGATGTTCAGCCCCGGGAATGTGGGACAGCGGCTGGATCAGCCTCGCAGGGAATCGGGAATCATTCCCTTATCCAGGATAGCTGCTTCTGTTACAGAATAATCCGGGCTGGCCTCTGGCAGGGAGGCAGCGGTGCTGGCTGGCCCTCGGCTGGCCTGGCTTCTCATGGAAAGCCTGATTTTTTTGGGGGGGGGATTTTCTGGGGTTTTTCTATTCCTGTAAAAGGAAAATTAAATCCATTAAAACTCACCCAGAGAAGCTGTGGCTGCCCCATTCCTAGAAGCGTCCAAGGCTATGCTGGAGCAACCTGGGATAGTGGAAGGTGTCCCTGCCCATGGCAGGGGGTCCTTTCCAACCCAAACCATTCCATTGTTCCATGAAAACGCTGAGTTTTGGTTAATATTAGGGATGGCTCACACGGAGTGAGATTCCAAAGGGGGAATATGTGGTGAATACTTGGAGGTGCCTCAATAAGTGGAGGTGTTTGAGGGATTCATTTGAGCTTTACACCCAATCCTTGAGGAATCCTGAATCCCACAACCAGAACTGTAGATTAACCTCCTCATGCCTCAAATTCTCCCCAAATTTTTTTGCCCTCCATCTCCTGCATCCTCCACCCCACCAGCCCCTTGTCTTGGGAACAAATCGATGCCTCTCGTCGAGCCGGTGTTTGTGGAATCGGACTCGGTGTCAAACCCGGCTCAGATTAATCCTGTGCAAGGAGTATTTTTAGCTCTGAGGGTGGCTGGATCCTGTGGGAGACGTGAGCTGGGTGCTGATGAGGCTGCAGGACAGGGACACTTGCTGTGGGGGGGAGTTCTCTGTGTCTCGTGGCGCAGGGAAGGACGAGAAGAGCTGGAAAATCATCCTGAACGTGACACAGCAGGAGCTGCTGGGTGACCAGGACCATCCTTTGGGATCAGGGACACGGGGCTGGGAGTTTTTAGGGAAAAGGGATCATCCATGTGGGCAGGGATGGATCTGTTGTTGTTCTTGTCCTGCTCTGCGCTCGGGGGTCTCTGTGGTGGCTCTGGTGACACTCTGGTGGCAGTGCTGCAATTCCAGCTGCCATCCGTGAGGATCCTGTTTTCCAGGAGCACCTGCAGGCACTAATTGACTCCGTTCTGCATCTCTAATTGGGGGCCATCAATAACCCAGCCAGGCTGCTCTGCTGCCTAATGAGCTCCAGCAGCTCCTGGCATTGAGGGAAGATCTGAAACCATCCCAAAGTGGGAATTGTCAGCTGGCTCTGGCCCTGTGGTCCTCTCTCCAAGCACAGTGGCCTGTCTGTGTCCCGCTGGGTGCCACCTTTGCTCTGCAGCAGGATTGGATTTCAGTTTAATTCGGCTGCTCATGGCCGGGATGACACGGGGATAACGCAGGAGCAGATGGGAGTCCCTGGGGATTAAATCATTAACCTCAGTGGCAGGGGAGCTGTCTGGGGACCACAGCCTGGGATCTTCATCCCAGTGTGCAGACAGCACAGGGATAAAATTCAGGCGCAGGGCAGGGGGGTTACTGGACACAGCTGGGAGCATCTCCTGCGATGGCAATTTCTGCAGGAGATGAGGTTCAGTCATGGCCAGGGGACAGCTTGTGCTGCTGGAGATTTTGTGGGGCTTTGGTTGAGCTTTTCCCTCCCAAAAACCCCTCCTCTCTTATTTCCAAAAATTCCCAGTCTGCTGCAGCACATCCAGCAAGCACCTGGATGAGCATGGGATGGGACACTTGGAAAAACCCCAGTGGAGCTTTACCTTTAGCTCCCTGCCCACTTGGAGGGGAGGAAAATTGCTTCTCATTTCTCATCCCAATTTTAATTATGCTTCCCTTAATCTGGAGCTTGGCTGCTTTTCTTGTCCCTTTCCCACCAGGAGAATGAGCCTTAATTTAATATTCATCCCTTTAAGGCACACGATTTCCCCATGGAGACGAGGCTGGGCTTCATTCTGGAGGCTCTTGGTGACCTCCTTTGTGTTTCTCTGGAATTTTTTCCCCGTGGATGTGGTGGCTGAGCCCATCCCTGCTGCACTGAGGAGCACGTGGATCATGGTGGCCTGGATCAGGTCCTTCCTCGTGGATCAGGTCCTTCTCCCACCCTTTTTGCTGCATTAAAAGTCCTCCCTGCCCACAATTTAAAGCCCTTTAAGGACATCCTGGCCATTCATTCCTGCAGTGCTGATGAATATTTAAACGCAGCAAACTCCTGCTCTGTTCTTAAGCCTCATTTCCTGGGATCATCAGCGCTTCATTCTGGTCACTCAGTCCCCTTTCCCATCCCTCTCCTCCTGCTGCTGTGCTGAGAGTTCCCTGGGATCATCATTTGGGTTGGAAAAGACTTCTGGAGTCATGGGATCCAACCTTAAACCAGCCCTGCCAAACCCTCCATGGGTTCTGTCCCATCCAGAACCCAGCCTAAGGCAATCCCTCATCCCTGTGGGATCCTTTTCCTTCCAAAAATAATGGAAAATGTTTGGATGTGCCCCTGAGCCCTTCCCTGCCTGCTCCAGGGCTCTGGAATGGGGCAGCAGCACGCAGGGATGTCCCTCAGTGCCCACCTTCCCCATTCCAAACCACACTCCAGGGACTGGGCCGATTTCCATCACCAGGGCCCTGTTTCAATGCTGATAAAGCTTCTCCTATCACTCTCTTATCAGTGCCTAATCCCTGTAATCCCTGTTTTCCTGGCAGATGAGGGATCTCTCCCATCTCTGGGCTGGGCTGAGCCAGCTCCCTGCCACCAGCTCCAATTACTCCACTTCCAAATTCTCCCCCTATTTTAACAACTGGAAGGATATTTCCTGCTTTTTGAACTGCAGATAATGGGGAGAAAGATGCTGCTGGAGCCGTGGATGGCAGAGAGATGAGCTGGATGCTGGTTTTGTGTAATAAAAGTGAGGAGGAAATGATCTCCAGTGGAGAGAAAAGCTTTTGGGAAGGCAGAAATCTCATTCCTGGTGAGAACAGGGCTTCCCTTGCTTATTAATGGGAGAATTGGGTGGATTTGGATCTCTGGAGGTGCTGGATGGAGCTGGAAGGAAATCTGGGTTTTTTTCTCCCAATTTTTGTCTTTATCAAGAGCTTCTCACCCCAAGAGTTTGGGCACAACCCCCCCTTTCTTCCTGCCAGGTTCACACCAGGACTTTAAATTGAACTTTTTCTCTCCCAGCAGCGTTTGAGTCATAGGGAAAAGAAAAAAAAAAGAAAATTAAAAAAGCCCAATTTCTCCCTCTTGAATGGATGTTTTAATTAGGGAAATGTACTTGGCTTGCAAGTGGTGCCACAGGTGTGTCCTGGCTGCTGAGCGCTTCCAGTGGTTCAAAAATCCCACTTAAGGAGCAGCTCATGGTAAATGAGAGCCTGGGAGAGATTTTTGCAGCTAAATAATGAACCTCTTGAAATGCAAAGGCTTTTTCCTCTTTTTTTGCTTTTTTTTTTCCTCCCTCCCTTTGATTGTGCCATTTGTTCCAGTTTCTATAATAAGTTTGTTTGGGCTTGCAGATTTCCAACTGGAAGCTGCTTTGCTTGGAGCTGCTGCAGCTCAGCAGGAGGAACTGCAGGGGATTTGGTGTTTTTCATGAATAAAAGAGAGGTTTTTTCCCCCAAAATGTTCCCCCTTGGTGAGGTGGGGGATGATAAAAGCTGGCTGTTTCGAGGCTCATGCACTCCATGGGATGTGGGCTGGGGTTAATTGCTTTAAATAACACTTGGGGAACAGCCAGCATCCAGGTTTTAATTGGAATTGCTGCCTGGGTGTTTGTGGGGTGATGGAGCCTCGGGAATTTCTGTGTTTGCCACGGGCTCTGGAGCTTGGGAAGGCACCAGGGGTGGATGGTGGCTCCAGGGCTGGGTTATTCTCTGGGGAGGAACCACCCATGGATGTGAAGGGCAGGGATGGACCACAAGTAAATCCCAGGATGGTTTGGCTTGGAAGGATCTCAAATCTCCTCTCATTCCATGGGCAGGGGTTGGTCCAGCCCCACCCCACCCTGGAGCAGGGAGCTTCTCCCTGAAGTGGGAAAGCACAAAACCCCCTGGCTGTGGTTCTGAGGGCGCTGTTTGTCAGCACCAGGATGGGAACCGCGATTGCTGCATTTCCAACCTCCGTGCTCCTGGCGCTGGCAGGAACCTGTGAACTCTCCCATCTGCTGTCTGGTGACACCAGAGCTGTGAAAACAGAGCCTTGTCCCCGCTGCTGGCTCTGTCTGGCTCTGCTGCTGCCCACCCAGCTCAGCTCCCAGCTGGGAACAGGCTGCAGGTTCATCTGGAAGCGGCAGGAGCCCAGCGGGATCAGCCCCCACACAGGGAGCAGTGGGAGATCCCTGGCTGGGTTTTGGCAGAGCTGAGGTGTTAACGTGGCTTTGCTTGGATAATTTGTGGAATTATGGATCCACATCCCTGAGTGTGGCTGGGCTTGGTGGATTTGAGATGCTCCTGTTGGCTGCAGTGAGGATTTTTGGGCTGTGATGGGGTGCACGTCCTAAAATGCTTCATTTTGGGAAGAAATTCCTCCCTGGGAGGGTGGTGAGGCCCTGGCACAGGTTGCCCATCCCTGGAACAGCCTGGTCTAGTGAGAGATGTCCCTACCCATGGCAGGGGTGGAACTGGATGATTTTAAGGCTCCTCCAAACCAAAACCATTCCATGCTCAGACAATTTCCCCTCCTCGTGCTGCTGTTCCTTTACTCGCCTTTTCCCCACGGAATTCTGGCTGTCCAACCCCAACCCCAGAGGCATTTTTGTGTGCAGGGAACCTGTGGATGGTTTATGAGCATTTCAGAGGCCCTGGCAGCCGAGTCACCATAAATCTGAAGCTGTCACCCCTCGTGGGATGTCTGTCACCCCTTTTCCACACCAGCCGGTTTCCTTTTGCCGTGGCTCCATCGGATTTGGGTCAGGCTGCCACGGGGGGCTGCTCCCTCCGGTGGGCTCGGGTCTCCTCCTCCCTTTCTCCGTTCCTTCCTCACTGAATGACATAAATAATGCAGCTTTTTTTTCCCTTGCTGTGCTATTTTTAGGGCCAGGATTCTGGGTTAGCTGAGCTCACGACGCCGACGCTGCAGCTCCTTCCTGCTTCCCAAACTCCTTCAGCCAATGCTGCCTTTCCAAAACTTCCTCAGCTTATTTTGGTTTTTGGGTTTTTTTTTTTTTACCTTTGCAGGAACCAGGTGTGTTTTCACAGCCTGATCTCCAGTGGGCTTTCACTTGCAAGAATTGCCATCACAACATTTTTTCTCAAATAATAAGAAAATTAATTAATTAATTAATTCGGTCATCATTAGAGGCCTTCCAGGATCTCCTCCTTCAGCTCTTCATGGGCAGCTGCCGGGACTGGGTGGAAAGATTTCCATTTAGGGACGAGTTGCTCCATGCAGAACTCCTGCCTTGGATGGATTTTCCATGTCCGTGGAGCTCCCTGCAAGTCGATATTGTGCCATATAAACCTGTTGGAATCCTATTTCCCTCTGGGATGTGCTGTTGTCCCATAGCTGGAAAAGGGAGATGCTCCGTGGGGAGCGGCACCTGGAAAAGGAACAACCAGACCCAAGGCAGTGGTCACCCCCAGGGAGCAGGGCCTGGCCCTGTATCCTGCCCTTTTCCTGGCATTCCCTGTGCTCTTCCTGACATCCCTGTGCCCTTCCTGGCATTCCCTGTGCCCTTCCTGACATCCCTGTGCCCTCTGCAGGCGCCTGATGACCCGGCTGGAGGACATGCGCCGCAGCGTGCTGGGCGACGGCGTCAACCGCTGCATCCTCTGCGGGGAGCAGCTGGGGACAAGGGGCTCTGCCTGTGTTGTCTGTGAGGACTGCAAGAAGGTGAGACCCCCCTCCAAACCCCACAAACCCACCCCAGCCTGGGGGCGCAGCGGATTTTGGGCGCCCATTTCCATGGCTCGCTGCCAGTTGTGTGGGCAGAGCTCTCCTTGCTGGTGTTGGGGACATTTTGGTGGCGCCGGTGTCACTCAGGTCTTTGTTTGGCCCGCAGAATGTGTGCACCAAGTGCGGGGTGCAGACCACCAACAACAGGCCCCAGGCCATCTGGCTCTGCAAGATCTGCAGCGAGCAGCGGGAGGTGAGTGTGGCCCCTGTCCCCTCTGTCCCCACCCCACACCTCCAAGGCAGGCCCGACTCACCTCCCAGGGGCCTCCAGCCTCACCCGGCGGTTGTTCGAGCATGGTTCTTACAGGATGGTTTTGTTTTCTACACAAAATGATGTTTTATTTCATGAAAACAGAGCTTTGGGGCTCCAAGGAGCTGTTGTGAGTTAATTGATTAATTAATTAGCGGGATGGGCTGCAGGGTGGGGGTGTGGGGTCGCTGGAGGAGGACCACGGTGGTGTGAAGCCCTGAGAGGCCTGACCCTGCTCCCACAGGTGTGGAAACGCTCCGGTGCCTGGTTCTTCAAGGGTTTGCCCAAGCAGATGCTGCCACAGCAGATGCCCATCAGCAAGAAGGGACCCCAGACCCCGAGCGAGCCCCGCCCGGCCGAGCCGCCCGCCCCCGACCCCAAACTCCCCTCCCGGGCACCCACCCGAGGTAGGTGACAGCAGGGGCTGCCCCCAGCACTGCCAGCGAGGCTCTGAGCTCCTTCCCATCCTCAGCAAGGAAAAATTGTGGGGGAAAAGCATCCAGAGCAGTCGTGTGTCCTAAAGGGGATGGCAGTGCAGCTGGAGGTGTTTGATTCAGGTTTTATCCAGGTGGGAGTGGATGGGCGTGATGGTGGTCACAGGGGTCTCAGGTTGAGGGAAGAGATGAGCATTTGACTCTGTATTTCAGAACGCTTGATTTATTATTTTATGATATGTATTACATTAAAACTACACTCAAAGAAAAAGTTTCATCTCAGAAGGCTGGCTAAGCTAAGAATAGAATGAAATGAATAACAAAGGTTTGTGGCTCGGACAGGGAGAGAACCAGCTGTGCTGTGATTGGCCATTAATTAGAAACAACCACATGAGACCAATCACAGATGCACCTGTTGCATTCCACAGCAGCAGATAACCATTGTTTACATTTTGTTCCTGAGGCCTCCCAGCTTCTCAGAAAGAAAAAATCCTAAGGAAAGGATTTTTAATGAAAAGATGTCTGCGACAGATGGGGTTGCAGGACATCCTCAAACTAAGCAGCCCCGGGTGGGGATCAGGGCCCTGCTGAGAGTTTGGGCAGTGCCTGGGTTGGGATGTGGTGATGGGGAAGCCTTCAAAAAATAGGGAAATCTGGGGAAACAGTGGCAGGGTGTCTTGGGATGAGGTTGAGGATGTGTGGGCCGCAGCTTCACCGCCTCTCGCTCTGTTTGTGCCCCCAAGGCCAGGCGGATGCCGAGGACACCGAGGGTAAGCACCGGCCTTTGTCCCCTCCCTGTGCTGAGCCCTGTGCCTGCCTCCTTCTCCTCCCAAGGCGTTTTCCTGCCCAGTTTCCCTGGGGATGCTGCAGCAGGATCGCTCCTTGCTGCTGCTGCCGCCCACCCTGCGGGGGTCCGGGTTATTCCAGGGTTATTCCAGGGTTTTCCCAGGGCTTCCCCACCTCCCACACACGCCGGGGCTGAGCTGGAGCCGCCTCTGTGGGTGGTGGGTCCTGCTGGGAGGGGCATGTGGGTTTTGGGTTTTTTTTTCTGGTTATTTAACCCAAAATCCTTGGAAAACCTCCCGGGGAAAGTTGAGGAGGCTTGTGGGGGCTGTCAGTGGGGGATGGAGCAGCCCAGCCTTGTGCTGTGCACGGTGCAGCAGTGGCTTGTTCTGGTTGTTCCTTGCACCCTCTGGCACTTCCAGCGGTGGAATCATTCAGTTTGGAAGAGCTCTCAAAGCTCATGGAGTTCAACCATTCCTCCAGCACTGCCAAGGCCACCACTGACCCATGTCCCCGAGGGCCACATCCACACTGCTGTTAAATCCCCCCACAGGGATGGGGACTCCTGGGCAGTGGTGTCAGGGTTGGACAATCCTCCCAGTGAAGAAATTTTCCCGAATATCCAACCTAAACCTCCCCAGGCACAACTTGAGGCCGTTTCCTCTTGTCCTGTTGATTCTTGCCTGGGAGAAGAGCCCAAACCCCATGTGGGTCCTGTCCGGGAGATGTGGAGAGTGAGAAGTTCTCCCTGGGAGTTCATTTTGAGTAACAGCCCCCATTTTCACACTTCAACATGGGATGCCAGGGGGCTGAGGATCACTGATCCCCCTCCAACACTGTCTGCTCTTCATTAGGGCGATTATTAAGTTGGGAGCAACGCAGTGGCTGCAAACCCTCCTCTTCCTCAGCTCCCTGGAAGAGGCAAAGAGGGGCTGAGGGGACAGTTCCCACCTGGAATTGTCCCCTCCATCCCACCCTTCCTTTAGCACAAGTTCTGATGCCCCAACTGATGATCTCTCTCTCCCCATGCAGCAGCAGGTGGGGAGAAGCACTTAATTAAGGCAATTTAATCACTCCCTTAGCCCCAAGGGCAGCTTTTATTAATCCAGACTGCTCCTGGAGTCGGGAATGCTTTGCCAGCTCCGCTCATCCCTCCCAGTGCTCAGCATGCTCCTGCCGTGCCCATGATCTTCCTACAGCTCCCTCGGAAAATTATTTATTGCACGGCTCTCTCTGCACCACGGGGCTCCTGCTCCTGGCTGCTCATTCCCCCCCCCTCTCCCTGCTCTTCAGCATTCCCGGTGTTTTTCCCTCTCTCCCTCCTCCTCTCCCCGCCACAATCTGTTGCTTTGTCCTCACGCCCGGTGACCCTGAGAGCCCAGCCAAGGAGAAAGAGCCCATTTATGTCACGGCAAAGATTTATCCCTGGCGTCTCCAGCAGCAGCCAGGTGAGCGCCGGGACCTTTTCCGTCACGTCCGCGGGGTCGCCATCCATCACCCCGGAGCGCTGGGCTGCGATGGATCCGCTGGGACTGCTGGGTGATGGAAGGGAGAGGCACAGGCAGCTGCCACGGCTGTCTGCTTAACAAATGGGAGGTGATCGGCTGAAGGAAAATAGGATTCACCCCTCAGATGGAATGTGGAGCTGTGGTGCCATCAGGGGTCTAATGGGTGCTGAGGATCGGGTGATGGATACCTCAGGCCTTGTTTTTCTGTGTCCTTGGGGATTTCCTGAGCGCAGGGTTGATGGTGCAGAGCCCTCCTGCTGCAGTGCCCAGAGCTCGGAGGTGCTGCCGCAGTGGCCGTACCCATTGTCCCCCTGTGATGGTGTCTCGGGATGAGGGAAGAGACGAAGATCTGACTCCATGTTTCAGAAGGCTTGATTTATTATTTTGTGATATATATTATATTAAAACTATACTAAAAGAATAGAAGAAAGGTTTCATCAGAAGGCTAGCTAAGAATTGAATAAGAAAGAATGATAACAAAGGTTTGTGGCTCAGCTCTCTGTCTGAGCCAGCTGGACTGTGATTGGCCATTAATTAGAAACAACCAACATGAGACCAATCAAAGATCCACTTGTTGCATTCCACAGCAGCAGATAATCAATGTTTACATTCTGTTCCTGGGGCCTCCCAGCTTCTC